TAGTGCTACTCATATTACCGCAACCATCCAAAATCAAAGAAAAGCATTATAATCCGAAGCAAGCAATTGGGACAACACAGGCCAGCCCAGTTTGATCAACTTCCAGTTAGGTAAGTTCGTTGCACAAACAGAAGTCCCTTTTTACCCCCCTCCTTTTCCTTTTCTTAATCTTATTTTAAACTAGTTTTGTTTGTTTCCCGAGAAAATGCCAAGAGAAAAAGAAAGAACGGAAAACAAACTTTAATCTCAAAGTTTGAAACTTTCACCGTATCCCTTCTCAATCACGCAACTTAATTCATGTGGGTCATTTTCACTGTATTACGTAACTTCCTCTATGTGGTTTACTTGAGCTGTTTCTTTTACCTTGAAATGTTGTACCGTTTTTGTTCTGTCTTCTTTCTTCCATTTTCTCAGAAACCAAGCAAGGGGGTTTAGTTGAAAGTGAAACTGACCCTTTATTGACTGAACAGAAATGGGGGTGTCTGGCCTGTTGTGGGCTGTGAGGGCGCTTGTTATTCTTCAATTTGTTACTGGGATTCTTGGTTGGGGAAAGGAAGGTCATTATGCTACTTGCAAAATTGCAGAGGTGAGATTTGGTCTTTATCCTTTATAATTTTGGACTTTTTAAGTTGTCAATTTTGTATTTGGCTCTCAGTGATCAGAATTTGATCTTTGTTGGGTTCACTTAATTTGCTTGCCATGTTTGTAGGTCTGCTTAGGTAGTTTTCTTTTTATCATTTTGGATATGGGGTGATTGACTGATTGAGAATTTGAATTATAGCTGTTACGAAAATGAAAACGTTTGGTTTTACTCACTGTTGGTATTGCTTTCATGGAATATTCCAATTCTTCTTGGACTTTTAGACTAGCCTTGATTGCATACATGCTCCTGTTTAGGAGTCGTCTTTTTGGTAATTTAATCCACCCGTCCTAGACAACTTTAATTGAGATTTAATTCAACTGAACTCTGAGTTTTGAGATTATGGAAAAATCTCCAGTACCACTAGTATACCTGAACTTGTTGATACATTTTAGCATTTGCTGGTCGCATATTGTGGGACCACAAATACTTAAATCTAAACGAGAGATGTGTGGACAACGATAATGATCAAGGTTTTGTGAGTTTTTTTAGGGTATCTTTGTTAATGATTAGAAGATAATGACTGAATGAGTGATTTTACGCACCCAATATTAAAATCCTGCAAATAAAGCAAAACGGGTTCCCATAGAAAGTAATAATGGGAATGCGCAACCACATAATAAGTATCATGTAGAGCAATGTCTAGCCCAGAATCTGCCTGGAATATTGCAATTGTTAATCCTATCTGATGAAGGACTTTTGATTCTTTAGGGGTATCTAACTGCAGAAGCTCTAGCTGCAGTGAAGGAATTGCTTCCAGAGTCTGCTGAAGGTGATCTTGCAAATGTTTGTTCTTGGCCTGATGAGATCCGATTCCACTATCACTGGAGTAGTGCTTTACACTATGTTGATACGCCAGATTTCAGGTGTAACTATGAATACTGTAGTAAGTTCGGCTTGCCCCTTCTATTCTTTGGTTCAGCTAAATATTTTTTGTGCTATTATGTAAATTCAATGGTAGTTTTTGGTTTGAGTTGCATTCATGACTTTCCACTTTGCTGGGTTATAGAGACAAATATTAGCCCTTTTAATGTTCTCCAGCTTTCTTTCAGGGGATTGTCATGACTCTTCTGGACGTAAAGATAGATGTGTTACTGGAGCAATTTATAACTACACAAACCAACTTTCATCGTTATATCAGAATTCCAAATCAGAGTCAAACTGTAAGCAAGCATTATATCATTGAATTTGGCACATGCAAGTGCTATATATCATGACATTTCCTTTTGCAATGTATGATATGTGGACTATTCCTATGTTGGTTGTGCAGACAATTTGACGGAGGCACTTATGTTTTTATCACATTTTATTGGAGATGCACACCAGGTCTGCTCCTGTTGCCTATTGCTAAGACTTCACAACTTTAATACAGCACATAGGGTGCTAAATCTTAATTAGCATGGTAAATGGATTGTTCTGCATATATAATTAGAAATCTTAAATTCTTTCTCTGGAATTGCTTCTATGGACATGCAACACTGAAGAACTAAAAGGAAACCTTGGAATAGAAACCTGTCATCATTGAACAGGAAGTATTTGTTTCTGAAGGCTTTCTTTTTAGTACATAACTGGACAGTGCCTTATTTGGGTCTCTACTCCTTTGGAGCGCTTCTGTGATATTAGTAAATACTTTATCTGTTGTGGTTTATATGTGATGATGTTTAGTAATGCTCATCTATTGGCTGCAGAGCCATTTCACATGACTCAACTTGTCTGCTGACCTGATTTCAGAACTTGTTTTGTGATGACAGCCCCTGCATGTAGGTTTCCTTGGAGATTTGGGAGGAAACACAATACAAGTCCGTTGGTACCGTAGGAAGTCAAACCTGCACCATGTAAGCTTTTCTGTAGTGTTAATCTACACACGTGGAGGATGATTCCCTTATAAACAAAGAGAATGTTTTGAGACAGTTAATATGCATGGAATGGATTTGGATCCTCTCATGTTCTTGAGAACATGATGAATTGTGTTTAAATTCAAATCAATAATTATATTTTAGCTTAAATTCAAGTACTTTGCTAATTATATATCTGAAAACTATGTAAAAAATAAAGTTTAAACATGATTCATCATGTTCTCAAGAATTTGAGAGTATCCAAGTTGGTCTTTCAACTTGGATGATAGGTATACACAAGCAATATATAGCAATGCAGTCAAGCCATCTCATTGCTTTTGATCTAAATAGAAAAGCATCGTGGACTTTAATGACCATCAAATTACTTTGACATGACCTTCTTTTATGCTCATTTTGTTCTCTTCACCTACCTATGGGTCAATATGGTTTCCAAATAATGGTCATTGTTTATATGTTTCTGGAACAACAAATGCTCTTTCCCATGTGTTTTTGGATGTCATTAGCATTATAAAGTCTCCTATATCAGTGTCAATATTGTTACTCTCTCTCTCAGGTATGGGACAACATGATTATTGAATCAGCCTTGAAGACATTCTACAGTTCAGATCTTGCGACCATGATACGGGCCATTCAGAATAATATAACAGTATACTTTTCCTTCTAACCTATTTCTCTGATTTCTAATTGGAAAATAGCGTGTACATTGGTATCAGTAGTGTTGAAGGACAGTACTCGATATATCTGCTTCTTCTATTGTTCTGAATTGTTCTATATAAATCACATGAAAGTTATAACTTGGGGATATGAATTTGTTGCTTCACAAATTTTTATTTTGTGTGAGTGCATGCTCCTGGATTTTGCTTTTGCTTTATTTATTTGCCATTTTTTTTAAGTGAGAAGCTTTTTTTGATTGCTTTATTTCATTGTTGATAGGAAAATTGGTCCAATCAACAACCACTATGGGAGCATTGCGCACACAACCACACAGTCTGTCCAAATCCGTAAGTATATTCCTTTTTCCTTGCATGCTTCATCTGCTTAATGGCAGACATGTAATAGTGCAATCAACCATGCACTGAAAGAGCTATTTTTGTAATGGTGAAAGCTTTACTCGTTTGAAATTGCTGAAACACATACGCATGTCAGTTCTCCTGTATAGAGTTAGACTTGATTGCTCGAGATGCAAGTTTTTCATTGCATTCGGGGAATAAATTCACATCATCCATCAGTTGCAAGGGGTTGGTAACTAATGGCTTGATACTTTTCCCTTCAAATTGTGCAGCTATGCTTCTGAAAGCATTAGTTTGGCATGCAAGTATGCATACAAGAATGCCACGCCTGGAAGCACTCTGGAAGGTATTCTCTTCAATCAAACAATCAATAAATTTTAGATTGTTGTTACAGAAGCTAGATCAGGATAGCCTTGCATATAATTAAAATGTGACTCATGTAAAGCTTATACCTCATGAGTCTTGCCTGCTTCCTAGGGTATACCTCATGAGTCTTGCCTGCTTCCTACTGGTGCCAATCATGCCCTGCAGGTTGTTGATATTGGTTTTATTTTGTTCCAGGTAAGGGGGGAAATGCCATTTTTGTTATCACAACTAACCTTGAAAATGCTATAGATTTGTGTTTTTTTTTTTTCATGTCATTTTATCCCATGAATCATTTTATCTCTATGCTCAAAGCCACAAAATTGGACCTTCCAATATTTGATTGGACAATGCAAAGGTCTCTGTAGTCAACACCATATCGGATGGACTTTTGGACCATGCTTCTCATGTATTTAACCATGCACATGTCCAGTTCAATCCAGCATGTTATGCATGTGGACTGTGGCAAACTCGATCCAGCAAGTTTTTTAACAAATAGACTTTTTTGTCACGTCATAAACTACCTGAATTTCCTTAGCCACACTCTGTTAAGAATAGTTTGTAATCCTTGATCTTTTGCGCTGCAGATGATTACTTTCTTTCCCGGCTGCCCATTGTGGAAAAGAGACTAGCCCAAGGGGGCATTCGGTTAGCTGCCACCCTGAACCGCATTTTTGCTTCTCACGTGAAAATTGCTCAAGCATGAAGATAAAGAGAGAAAGAAGCATCTTCAGTTGATTACACAGAGCGGGGACCACCGCACCAATATATATATAGCACGAACTTACCTTATGCGTAATACTTTACTCATTGTCAGCTCTGTTAAGCAAGCTCCAAACTAATCTTTTAAACCAATTCTTGGTTTCATTCCTGTTATGTGGTATACGTTGTCTTGGATATTCCCGAATATGCCCCTCTTGCACATGGAAAATGTCAACTTGAAGGGTACTCAAGAGTGGAATTTAATTATTGTACTCAATAAGAACCCTTCATTCTTTTTTGTATAAATGTAACCGAACGTTTTCTAAGCTCGTTATATGTATCCAAAACTCAAATTAGTGGCTCATTTCGTTTCTCATGTTTTGTGATATTGGAGGAAGAAAACATCAGGCAGTTCAAGCTGATAAAAAAATAAAGATATGGATAGGATTAGAGGTTTGCTGAGATTGTGTGCTCTTGCATTTGTATTTTTTGCGGGTTTAGCTTCCATTTCATTGCCAGGAGCTCTGGGATGGAGCAAGGAGGGTCATATAATAACTTGTCGGATCGCACAGGTAATGTATCGTATCCTTTCTTCTAGGAAGTAGGTCCAAAGGTCTTAGTAGTAAGATATGTTTAAAATTATATCAAAAATCAAGGAAGATGAATCATCATTAGAGGCGAATATTCATCATCATGAGATAAAAACCAATAAATCGAACTTGTTACTATAATTCTTACAAGTTCTCTACCCTTTCCCGTGTGTTAATTCAAACCATTTTCTGGATATCAACAGTCTGTTTATTTGTGATTTTGGTCCTCTTCCACCTTGAACAGAGAACAATGGATCCAGTGAAGGCCTGTGAGCCGGAATTATAGGGACTTAACCAGTTAGATCGGCTGGCATCTGGGAGTTGTGCATCATACGCCTAAATGCTAGCTTGCTCAAGCAACAAACCCATGAAATCATGATTGCAGTCCTGAAATTTGCTTCCCCATTTACTAGTTAATTCTTACAAGTTTTAAATTGTGTTTGTTAGTGACCTAAATACGGCCTTTCTTGCCTGAAATAAAACCGTAAGGTATTTACAAATGTCTTTCAGCTCACACAATACCCGTTTAAGAAATGTCCATCAAAGTATGAAAAATCAAAAAATTGTTACGTGATGGATAAGCGAGCTTACTTTGCCTTAAAGAAATGGTCAGGAGTCAGGAGATGCGTTTTTATTTTGCAACAAGACTACGAGTCCTAGTGTTTACTCACAGCTGAACTTTCATGACTAAAGTCAGTGCCTTTCAATTAGCAGAATCTTTTAGGGCCTGAGGCAGCACATGCTGTAGAAAACTTGTTGCCCCACAATCTCAATGGCGATTTATCGGCACTCTGCATATGGCCTGACCAAATCCGTCATTGGTATAGATACAGGTGGACTAGCCCACTTCACTTCATTGACACACCAGACAAAGCCTGCACATTTGATTATTCGAGTAAGCTAATTTTTACCTCATAATTATCACTTTTATTTTCAGTCGTTAGTATACTGTTGTAACTAATTTGTTACTTTGTTTTAGGGGATTGTGTGAAAGATGCTTGTGTTGATGGTGCCATCCAAAATTTTACCTCTCAGCTTTTGCACTATAGGGACGGCACTGCAGATCGTCGATGTAAGGAATTCCACATTCCAGGATTATGATTTTACTGTTGGAATCCTGAGATTTACATGGTTTTATTAACTTTGCAGATAATTTGACAGAAGCCTTGTTATTCTTGTCCCACTTCATGGGAGATATTCATCAGGTATATATATAGACGGTTCCGGGTCTGCACATCTCATCTTTCTTTTATCATAATTCAATGAGTTTCTTCTTGTTTTTACAGCCAATGCATGTTGGATTCACTAGTGATGAAGGAGGAAACACCGTTGAACTGCGATGGTTCAGGCACAAATCTAATCTTCACCATGTGAGTACCATCAATGACCATCCTTGTAGCCTCAGCTTGTGATGTATATTGCTGTGGCAGTTTTCCTGTACAAATAATAATGCAGGGGCAGCGTCCTTTTTCTTATGAATGACTGAAGTTGAATTTGCTTATCTAGGTATGGGACAGGGAGATTATTCTTACAGCTTTAAAAGATTTCTATGACAATGACATGGTTCTCTTGCAAGAAGCCATAGAGGGGAACTTCACTGATGTAAGACCAATTAGCCTATTCACTTCACCTTCATGTATACATTAAACATCTGGTTCTCTTCAACTAACTGTTATATATTGCTGCCATGTTACACAGGGAATATGGTTTGACGATGTAGCATCATGGAAAGATTGTGATGATCTCCTTTCTTGTCCAGACAAGTGAGTTCTCTAATTCTAGACATCTACATGTTTCTTTCAAAACAAATGTAAATAACTGGTATTTCTCATTAGGTTACCTAGTCAGATTTGTTAATCATGCTTGCCTTTTACGTGTGTAGGTATGCCACAGAGAGCATAAACATAGCTTGCAAATGGGGTTACAAAGGCGTCAAGGAAGGTGTAACTCTAGCAGGTACGTACATATCACCTAAAGACAGCATTGCACACTAATGACAATCTGATAAAATCCAAAATATTAAGATTTAAAGAGTGTGGTTGAAGTTTAATACTTGAAAATATGTTGCATGATCATAGATGATTACTTCGATTCGAGGATGCCACTTGTCATGAAACGCATTGCTCAAGGTGGAGTTCGTTTAGCCATGTTCTTGAATCGGATTTTTGGGGATCCCGAAGAAGGGTTTGCATCACCAACATAAAAAAACCCTACTAACCAGCACAATACTTGGAAACTTTGACTGTAATATTTGTTGTTACTGTAACTAATGTCTCTACAAGCGTCATATGTATGATCCTGGTCTTAATTTATAAGGTTGTTAATTAGGCTGCTATGGTTTAACTTTGCTGTATAAAAGCCACAGCCACATTTACTGTCATTTTGTAATTCGTGATAAAGAAAGTTAAAACTGTTCTCTTTTCAGATTCTTCTCAATTTCCTTTCCCTTTTCCTTGCTGGCACACAGCATAATCTTAAAACTCAAAGTTCATTCATTGCTTTTCCTAAATTCCTTGAAGATTCCAGGCCAAAAACAAGATTTTACTACGTTGTTTTACCAATCAAATGTTCTGTTCATGGTATGACTTGATGGTCATGATCAAGTATTGAGACGTCATTAATTAGTTACAACTCTGACCCCAAATCTATTATTTTCTTACCCCAATCTGGTCACCCTTGCAAGCAGAGTAGAGTGCTGTGATGTGATTAGTGATTGGGCCTTATCATTCAATTAGTTGGATATCACCCATTATAACCCTTGGCCCGTGTTCCACCGTTATAGTAATTTGATCATTATATTTACAATTTAATCCCCACTTCGACAATGAACCATATTTATTAACTCTTTTTTGTAAAAATTATGTAAGAAATGATAGCGTATATCTACGTGCTTCCTTCTGTCATAAAAAATTACATTCTTTGCAAGCTTTATAGTGTACATCTTATTAAAATGCATAACAATAAGATCTCTTTATTCAAATATAGTACCTTGAATAACTTTCTTAACCAAATTGCTTACCAGGCATATGAAGCAAGGAAGCAAGGACCACTAATTTAAATTTTAGGGTAGATAACATCATTATTAGTTGTTTTTTAAAATGTCCGTGAAATTGCTCATGACCTTGTTATAAACACATAGTTTGAAGTGATCTTTAAATATTGAAATATCTCTTTTGCTGCTCCAAAATAAAATTTTATAGGTAGGATGTTCCATGTATTTGTTTATGATACCCAGTACATATATAATATCTAGTTTTATAGTAATAAGATACATTAAACTTCCTATAATTTGTTTGTAAAGAGTAGAATTAATCGTCTTTCCCTCATAATTCTTGTGCAACTTCAAGTTTAGTTTTATTGATACGGTGATAGGATTTCAATTTTTCATCCGAAACTTCTAAAGAATTTCCTATGCATATTTCCTACAAGTAATGAAGATTTTCTTTGATAACTATTTCATTTTATATGCATATAAAGTAGTGTATCAATCATAAATTTATCATCTCAAACTCCTTTTTTTATTAAGCTTTTAAATTCTACCACCATTGTTTCATCATTTCCCATAAAAAAGAGATCATCCACGTATAAACACAACAACAACATCTCCCTATCTTTTATCTTTATGAAGAATATGTATTCATATAGGTATTTATAAAAAGCCTTCTTCTTGAAGTATAAATCTATTCGACTATATCATATTCTTGGTATTTGTTTAAGTCTATAGAGAACTTCTTCAACCTATAAACTTTATTTTATTACCTTTTTGTATGAAACCATGTGGTTGCTCAATATATAATTGCTCTTGTATGTCTCTATAGAAGAAGGTCGACTTTAAATTCATTTGACAAATGAACCAAAAGTGTTGTGTTGTAATAAAGAAAACAAATCGAATGGTATCTTATTTAACAAGTAGAGTGAACATATAACATTCTTAATTTATAATATCATGAAGTCTCAAACATTTCTTTACGAATGTCAAGTATTGAATAATAAGTCTAAAATTATGATTTATTTTTTTCTTTTTATTAAAATTCAACAGAATGTTTTTTTTTATTGGTACCAAGTTATCAACAACACTTTTATTATATGTCATTGCAAACTTCCATCTTGATCCAATCATCTTAGATAATATCTTATTGATCAATCAATTTCTCAATACTTATACTTTTTAATATATTTAAGTCTCATAATATCAATTAATAAGTCAAAAGCAAGAGAGAAAGAGAGAAAATGAAGGGAAAAACATAAAAACCAAGAAAAATAAGAAAAGTGAGAAAACAATCCTGTAAGTTTGCAAAATTCAACTTATAAAACCCTAATTTAAGAAAGAATCAAGTAAAGGAATGAGAAATTGAGAGAGAGAATTTAGTAAACCTTGAAAGAGAAGAAAAATGGGAAGAAAGTTAATTGGTAAACATGAGAAGTTTGTATTCAATGTTTGATTAGATGTTTTTTTTTTAAGCTTACTTGATTAAATTAGGAAGTTATTTCATAGAATTTTACTTTAATTCCCTTTAAATTCTTGATTCTTGAATTTAAGGTTCTTATAGGAATTTAGAGAAATTAGAAGGAGAAGGAAAAATGATGAAGTTGAAGTGGAATAACATGAAAATAAATTAAAATAACAAGTAAATAAAGAAAAAATTAGAAAGGAAAAGGAAGATGGCATTCGACCAAATTAAGAAAAAGCGGAGGAATGAGTTTTTGATGTTGATATTTAGAAAATTATGTTTAATCATGATATTTGAAATATTTAAGAAAGACTAAGTGAAGAAATAACATTAAAGTTGAGAAAAATAAGTAAATTCAATGTAAAAGAGAATTAAACTAGTTAAAAAAAAAAGCGCATAAAAATAAGATGTTTAGATTGTGTTTGAATATAGTTCTTACATATGTTTAAATAAAATAAATAATATGATGTGAAGGCATAAAAATTAGTATTTTATAAATTAAATTTTGTAAGTTTACAAGGTTATTTTCTCACTTTTCTTGCTTTTCTTGGTTGTTATAATTTTCCTTTACTTTTTCCTTTTTCTCTCTTGCCTTTTCTTTTCCTTCTTTTAACATTTTACTTTTGCTCAGTTGAGAGTTGATTTGTTTTATTTTTAATGGCAAATGATCATTTTGTCCTTAATGAGTCATTTTGCTTTTATTTTACAATCCTTTTTTTTTTAATAGTCAAGAACTTTGTTCATTCTAAAATTTTAACTAGATTTTATTCAACATATTTTAAAGTTTCTTGTAAAATTTCAGCTTAATCTGATAGTCAGATTGAAAATTACATCCAATAATATAAAATTGGTTAAATTGTGATTTCTCATCAAATTTCTGAATTTTTCCAAACACAAATTTTTAAAATTTTCTAATAATCCAATCAAGGATTATAAATTTTTCTATATAAAACTAGTCAACTTATGATCTTTCACCTAGAAGGTTTACAAAACACCTCTTTATAATTGACTTTAAATTCTTGTTTATAGCCCTTAGCCACAAGACAAGATGAGCTTTATTTTTTCTTTGTTTCTCCGTAACACTAGTTTTATCAATTTTTGTTTTATAAACCCATTTGACATCAATTACTTTCTTTTTTTTTTGGAAAATTTGTTAACTTTCGGGTATGATTCCTTTTAATTGCTTGAATCTCTTTTTTTATAGACTTCTGTCATTTTATTTCTATGATTTCTTCTTCAAATGTAATAGGGTAACTTTTTCCCATTAACGCATAGTGAATAATAGCTTCCTTATCAAAAAGTTCATCTCCACTTATATAATCTATCTTCTAGGTCGATTATCTCTTTTCATGTGATTCTCTTAGCCTTGATAATTCTAAAAATGTTTATTCAATATAAAAGAATAACTATTGTTTGGTGATTATTATCACCAACTTCATCACAGTCAATAATCAACTTGTTTGATATTCCTTTCAATTTATTAGTTTCCTTACTCCATTTTTTCTTTTCATCGATGTTCTCATCTTAATTGATGATAATGATTTAAGTTTTTGGATCATATAACTTCTTGCACTAATGAAAATGCATCTCACACTCTTATCATCAAGCTTTTGAAATGATATTTGTGTTGGGATGTTGCATTAATGGGCAACAACATTTGTAGTCTACTCTAAGAAAGAGGGTTGTCTTTGTCAAAGGCCAAAATGGTAGGTTGTTGGTGGTAACTGCTAATGTTAAACAAATTACACTAACCATTAACAAAATGGTGCAACCCATATGCTGCCACCATTAGTGCCATAATTTATGGCCAAGTTGTCTTGTTATTAATGCCTATAAATAGAGGTATAATCTAGAGAGCAAAATATGAGAGAGAGAAAGAAAGAGT